GTGATGGAGAAGCCAGTCACCACTTTCCCAAAAGTAGGGCCGTTTTCTTCTTACTGCATCACGCAAACGTTTTAAAATTTGAACGTAGTATTCTTTATTGATTGTCTGACCTGTTGATGCATATTCGTGATGTACAACACCTTCACAATCGAAAAAAACAATCAACATTGACTTAACATTGCTCCGACTTTGGCGTGCTTTTTTTGGTCTTGGCGATTCAGAATGCTTCCACTATGAAGATTGTTGTTTTGTTTCAGGATCATAACCATAAACCCATGATGCATCACCTGTAATAACTTTTCTAAGCACATTATCATCATTATTGACCATTTCCAGATTGTCCAGAGCGATTTCTAAGCGAATGTTCTTCTGCTCTGCTGTGAGTAATTTTGAGATGAATTTCGCACACACGCGTTTCATTGCTAAATTTTCGGTTGAAATTTCTGAAATGATAGTTTTTGGTATCCCAAGGTCTTCTTCTAGTTATCGCACAGTCATATGACGATCTTGTTCGATTGCAAGTCGCACCCGCTCAATATTATCTGCGGTTTTTGCATCGAAGATCGGCCGGAACGAGAATCACTATCGACAGAAGTGCGATCATCCTTCAACCGTTTATACCACTCTTTTATTCGTGTTTTCTCATACACTCGCTTCCGGTGGCCTTTTGCATCATTTCAATAGTTTCCGAACTGGTTTTTTCGAGTTGAAAGCAAAATTTGATGCAAATTCGTTGATCTTATTTTTCAGTCATTTTTGACAATATCAAAATTCGACGAACGCGAAAAAGGCACTGTAAACAAAGACACGCTGCGCATCAACTATACGTCCGGCAGGTGTCAGTAAGTAACGAATAAATTCGTGAGGCTTTACTGTTGACGTTTCTGTCAGGTAGAGGTCGCTCGAACACTATGGTGCGAAGATATAAACGTAGGCCCGATACTTTCCGGACAGACCTCGTATAGTTGATGAGTGTAATACTTTGACCTCTCGTATCTCAGCCAAATCTTTCTGGAAAAAATTTTTAAATATATATATTCTTTATGTACGTGATGAAAACTATCCAAAAACATGCTCAATTATTGAAAAATATTTGATTAAAGCTTTTAAAAATGCGAAAAACCATTTTATTTCCAAAATTTCAAAGTTTGACCTTGAATATGAAGGTCAAACATTTTATCTGCATTAACCGGACTATCTTTCCTCTATTCTAAATTGCACAAGCTTTTAAATGTTACTAGATTCATGCCGCTATCATTTTTGGATTGCAAGATACGTCATTTTGTCCATTTATAAAAAATTTAGAATACAGTGCGTTGCGAACGAAAATTAAATGGGTTTGTTTTTCAACGTATTTACCTAATGTCCAATAATGAATGAAATTTTCGGTGATAACTGCTCATTTATAGTTATAATAATAACGTTCAGCCAATTGTGAATTTATTGAACCCAATTAGCATATCAGAGGATTGACAATTAATGACAACGGTTATGCAAAGTCCTCCATATACAACTTATTCATCTCTAAAATAGTTAGATTATTAATAATGAAAAGTAACCAAGTGGATTAGTTAACAAATTTATTCATCAATTTTCTTAGAGAAATTTTCGTAGATACAAATTCGTTTATACTTTTTATTGATAAAAAATATTTTGCTTTGACTTATCATGATGCAGTAGAGATTTTGTTATAAGTTTGTACTAATTATTCTCTAGTACAAAAAATTACAAAATATAAATTAAAAATTTGCGTTAGATGCCTGAAAAAATGTCTACAAAAAATGATCCTATAGTAATGAATTACATTTTAAACATTACTATATTTAACGATGAGTTGATATATAATTTTTAAGAATTAATTGATATTAATATCAGCATGTGGACTGAAATTGTAAAGGCTTTTATAAATAAATGAAAAATAAAGCAGACTAAAAAAATAGACGTATTTATTAGTAAAGAAGTATTGTTAATTCTAAAAATTATTTTTTTGTGCCAGGAGAGATAAAATATTTTACTAAAATAAATAAGATTCTAAAATTCTAATAAATAAGAAACTAAAATTAATTTAAGGCATCATAGACACAATAAATTACTAGTTACATTGAAAGTGTAAGTATTATATTTTATACTGAAAAAAATTATTACAACGTTATACGTGATGTGAATAGTAATCGATGGAAACGTGTATCTGGTTCGAATGGAAATGATAAAAAAGCATGGCCCAAGGGGGCCAACGATATTTAAGTATTTTTCTAAAAACTATATTTGTAGTTTTTGATATTTTCATTCAGGAAATTGTCTAGTCTATGTAAGAAGTAACAGTTTATAAAATTATCGAAAAGGATTGCTTGTGACATGCTCGAAGTGCAACGAGTAAAAGTCGGGATTTTTTCGATGTAAGTCACGACTGGGAATCCTATGTGTATATACGTATGTATATATGTATGAATATACGTATGCATATACGCGTATGTATATATGTATGAATGAATGCATGTGTATGAATGTGTGTTTGTATAGATGTAAGCGCCCATCTGCCTGTGTATGAATATATGTGCGAATGGATGTAAACCATGTCCGTGTATTTATGTTGTCTGTGCCATGCCCTATGTAAGTCGACGTTTTTATATACATAAATTGTGGATATGTAGAGATATTTGTTTTTATATACCCATGAAAGTATGTATACATGTGTATGTTTGCGTGTATGTGTTGTGACCGCGATTCGTTCGTTTTTTATATTCCAAGGCATCATCCATATCGAGGGTCCAAAGGCGGAAAGTAAGCGAGAACAAAAAAAGATTGCATGTGTTGATCTTTTTCATGATTTAGTTTACGAAAGGAGTTCAGGAAGCCGAAGATGTATTCTCAGGACCATCGTTCCCTTGACAGCCAGTTCCATACGCAGCTTCAATCGATGACGAGAAAAATATCCATCCATGAGGCAACAATGAAGAATAGGTTTTATTATTATTTTATTGTAATTGTAATCAGATCACTGTTGGGTAGTTATAAATAAATAATTTTTTAAATATAAAAGTTGTAAAAGTTTGCATTTGCTATTTATCTCACACTATTGTTTATCATCAACTTTAAATATTTCGTAAGAAACATTGAAAAACTTTTTCAATATTTTCAGTATTATAAAATATTTTTCTTACTAATGAAAAAACTAATAAACAAGTATAGTAGTCCATGTTTCATCGGCAGTTATATATCGATGCAGAAACTCTTCAGAATTACTACGGAAAAGCGCCAAAACAGCCTCAGAGTTGACTGCATGATTGCATTTATTCTCCACTAAAAGCAAAGCAAATTTTTTGCAACTCAATTGTTCATACAAAATTGACATAACTCTACCTTGTGATATGCCTGTGGTCTCAACTATTTCGCTTACATTGATTCGTTGATCACTTAAAATCATATCGTAGATTCACGATATCGTAAACATTTCCAAACACAGAGGCAGATTTGCCATGAACTTCACCCAATTCAGCTTAGATTTCTTTCAGTGTTAAACCTTTTAATTAGAAATGTTTTATCCCCGCTCTGAACTTAAATTCTTGCATTGCTAACGATAAACAAAAGTTATTTACTTTATTTTATGATAAAACCGGAACTATTTGATGGATCTGGTTGAGATTTTATCAGTACTCTAGATGGAATTGACGTTTGCCATCACGTATAACTTGTGATGTTTTGCGTACTATCTGTCGGATTTGCTGAGAACTTACTGAATGATCTTCGTCAAGCTTGAAAATATCTGTAAAGATTATCTTATTCTTAGCACTCTCCATTTTTTTAAACAAAAAATTTTTTATATCCAATTTTAGAGCCAACCCGTTAATTTGGATTAACGGGTTGGCTCTAAAATTGGATATAAAAAATTTTTTGTTTATCTGTAAAGATGTACTTACAATTGTTGCGATTTTTTTTCGAGAATCGATAAGAGCTAAAGACATAAAAATTTTTTTATTTTGAATTTTCTTCTCAAATAACTAAAATACCGATGGATTAAATTTATCATGCATACCGTTTAAAAACTTATAAAAATAGCTTTCAAATGGTATGCATTGCATCCTTACCAGTCTTTGTAGATTAATTTTCACTATGATATAAAACTTTATTTTGAAAATAAAGTTTAACTGATTTTGTTCGTGATACGGGCGTTAAAGTAAGTGATTATCAGTGTAGTTTCTATAGAAAATTCCTTAAAATATGTCATAATTATTCCTTGATGATGCCGATTCGATATTTAGATATTTGAATTTGGTCCTAACACTTCCAATTTCAATGTCTGCTTCTTTTGGTATAGTATAACTATTTTTAATGTTTACTCGGTTCAAACGACTTAGAATTGTGATATTTTTATGTTTTTTATGTTATTGGACTAGAAGACTGTTTAAACCGATTTTGCTTCCGGGGATCTATAAAAATTCGGTTCCGGGGATCTATACGATTGAAACTGTCAAATGTACCCGAAAAGAGTTTTCGAACAGAGGTTTTGCATTAAGGAAAATCCAAAATATAGATTAATTTAAATTATTCATCTATAAACGTTTATAGCATCATTTTTTAAATTATATCGTCTAAATCGATCCTATTCACCTGTTGCTGCCACGCACACATATTAAACATTTTCAAAATAGAAACAACTATTCACGTAGCCTATATCTTAGATAACTTTCGTTTCATCATAAGCTAGAAACTACAAGTGTGAGCCTCTTTATCTTAGCTTATATATTTTTCTAATGATTGCAAGTAACTTATAAGATGTTATTAACAATTACACTTGATTCAATAAAGAATAATATACGGTATGTAAATATATTATTCTTACCATATTATTTTATATAATACAAATTTATAATTAGCACTGATTTTATCAATTGTACTTCACAATGATGAATAAATTAATAAATAATATCATATTTTATCATTAGGAAGGATGTAAGGATGGACATTTAATGAGTATTTGCAATTTAAAGAAAATTATTCAATCTTTTAATATTTTATACAATTTTGTTTCAAAATTTTTCGTCGGCTACTTGTAAGAGTACGAAGTTATTTTTAATACGATTGTGAGTTGGGTTAATAAGATGACATTTCTTTTCATTAGATTACTGACGTTATCAAAATGAATGCCACTAGCGTATCATTTTTTGAGTTCTAAGTTTCATTATTTATTCGTACAATCTTATGAAAATCGACATGTTCGTAATACTCTTCATAACAATTCATACTGTATTCACGTTTTATGAGCTGTATGTCTACAATCTGCAAACAGCTGTCGTGACTCTGCACGTAAAAAACATCCTTCAACAGTAAATATTGAAGCTTCTGAAACAAATTTAATTTTTAAATATTTTCATTTCTAAATTATATAAGTTAATGTAAAATAAAAGTTTCATTCGTAAATGTTTTTTCAAATAAATATAGGCTAATAGGGCGATCAGTTGTATGACAGGCAAGTCGTATGCAAGATAAAGTTAACCTATTACAATCCATACAAGAATATGTTTTTTTTTTATTATTGGTATTTACTTATAAAAGTTCTTTAAGCAAATTACACTCAAATAATAATTTTAATAAAATGAGTATAACAGCAATCGATTTCACGCAAAAAAATTATGAAGAAACGGGTCGAGGAGGATAGGATGTTCGAATACGCCTTTGAGTAATTCGAAAAAGAATCAGATAATTATGTTCCATATGTATAAAGATTTCTGCTCTTAGATTTTCAGACTCTAATACCAATTTGAGACAAACTGAGATGTTATATAATGATTTAGGGATGGGTTTTTTAATATTTCGGTTAATTTTTAAACTAGGAAAACTTTGTATCATATTTTAAGATATTTTAAGTCCTAAAAAACTGTCTTATTAAAAAAATTTATGGTGCCAAATTAAAATTTTTATAGATACTGGTATTCCAAAACATTAAAATTCGATATTTTAGAAACAAAGACATACGATTTATTAAAAAATCATGTAGTTTTGATTTTTGCACGGACTTTTTTTATGAATATAACCCATACCTATAATTACAAATTGTTTAATGTTTGAATCATCCTGAAGAATTCATTGCAAAATGTGCTTATGTGCATATATAAAAAAAATATAGAAATACCGAAAATATCAACACCGAACCAAGTACGTGCATACCAACTTCTATCTGTAAAAATCAAACAAGCCCAATACAAGCCTACCCAAACCATATTTAACAACAGAAACTTTATCCTAGTACTCGGCTACGATATCCATGATAGTCACGTAACATGAATCCAACAAGAACGCCGTTTATCTGTGCCTATCCTGCGATACTACTTGAAGCATAATCTACGAGGGTCGTCCAATAAGTACTTAGCCTACAAAAGAAAAACGAAAATTTTGGAAAAGTGGCATTTTATTTTTCAACATAGTCTATTTTAGTTCGATACACTTGGCCCAGCGATGCTCCAAATTCTTTAACCCGTCTGAAAAATACGTTTCCTCGAGGTCTGAAAAGTAGGCCTCCGTGGCAGCGATTACCTCCTCATTCAACTCAAATTTCTGCTCGGCGAGTGACTTTTCTAAGTTTGAAAACAAAAAGAAGTCGTACGGGGCTGAATCTGGAGAATACGGTGGATGGGGCAGCAGTTCGTAGCCTAATTCGACCAATTTGGCCATGGCGACGGCGCACAGTGTACTATTTTGATAAAATGAGGGACAAAATCAATTATCTTACGATTGATATTAAATTTGAATTAAAAAAAAAAAGGAAATGAAAGATTGAGTAATTTCAAATCAGGGAAAAATAGTCCGGGAGCGAAAAAATGCAAATTTGACCTTCAAATTCAAGGTCAAACTTACGATTTTTTGAAAAAAATGTATATTTTCATCTCGCATTTTTCTGAAAAAAATTTTTTTATCATACCAACTATGCTATTTTGTAGATTTTACAACAAGGAATCCGAATCGCAGGTGCTAAACTGACAAAAAAAATTTTAAACCTCCCAAATTTGAACCTAAAAGTACCTTTCTAATTTTTGTAAATTTATGAAATGATAACGTACTTTTTCAATGTTCATCGTTCATGACATTATTAATCATTCAATATTTCTTGACATGAATCTTAAAATATCAGTATATAAGTAATTCATTCCATAAAAAACTAATTTGAAGGCAATCTCGTAGATAACTAAATTTATTTACATGAGTGTTTTGATAAATAAAATGAATCAATCGTAATTATATTTCTTCTAATTGATTTTTAAATGTAAAAAATATTCTCGTGTTAAATATATAAACATGCATCGGCCAATGAATCAGACGAGCTTTCGTTTTGTTTTTTACCGTATTCATGTGAAACTTTTATATTCGAAATATTTTCCATCGCTGTCCCGCTGTTTTGAAGGAAATAGAACGAATGTTTACGTAAAGTGTATTGAAGGTGAACTATTTTCAGTATAAGTATGTCTTACTTGTTAACTCATGCAGAAGAACATATCATATTTGAATAATACTAGTGTAGTTTTTGTGTTACTCTTACTTTGATTGAACTTTGCATAATTTACATTTATCGCTCATCAGCTTCAGGAAGTAAGTATTCGTTTATATTGTTTGATCTATTTTATTATTTTTATAATTTAACTGTTCATATTCATTGTAATTACAGAATTCTTTTGTGACTTATTATTCAATAATTTATTTATTAATGTGATCTATTTATTACACATTCTATGTAAATATTTGTATTCTTTTATAGATGATTCGTGTTATAATGCATAGACTTAATGTGATTAATTTCATTATATTTTATCTTCTTAGCGCAATATTGCATGGTTTAAGGACGTTCTCTCGCTGCAGTGGTGCTCAACTTGCACAATATTATTAAAAATATAATTAAGAGTGTTCAATTGTCATCAAAAGCCTGATTTAGTCGGTATACATGACAATGTACATATACATGACAAAATAATGAAAAAATGTTAACATAAAAAAGAAAGTATAAATACGATATTTGAAATTCGTAACCTTTTACGATACCACTATATAGATATACAAATAACACGTCAGTTTTTCTTTTAACAGCTGTATCTTGGAATGTAATGCCACTTGCCCTATTTAGTAAAAAATCGTCGTAATCAGTGTTTTGTCAATTATAACATACTAATTTATTTTAAAAAAATCAAAAAAACTCGTGTCTTAAACGACAAAAACGCTTTAAAAATGCTACTGGGAACCACTGCTCCCATAAGATCCTGTGTTAAATAAAAGCAACTTTATATTACAATAACTCATAAGTTAGGTCCGGTATAGATAAAATACTTAATTAAGAACATATATTTCAAATTTCACGAAAAAAACAAGAAAAGTGAAAATTAAGAGAACGTCCTTAAAGCCATAAATATACTTTAGTTATTTATTATCACTGTTATAAAACTCTTCATTCTACTAATCTATGTGTATGTGATATACTAGTATGAAACGGAAGGTGCGATCCAAGAGTAAAAATAAGGGTAAAAAACGAGGCAGGCCGAGTAAAAAAGGTGGGAAGAGGTTGAATGCGGGCAGAAAACGCATGTCAATAGAAAATGCTTCGAAAAAAACAATTCGTAGGCGAGCTCAAGAGTTGTTACAATCTGAAGAATATAATTTGGACGTAATCAACGTAGCTGTAGCTGCAAGAATCGGTGAATCCAAGTTTACTAATGTTAGTGATAGTGATGACAGCCTTATTAATAATCATAAGGAGAAGGAAATTCGTAGACACTCTAAAGAGTCAGCTTTAGCATTTTTCTCGGAGTACGATTATTCTGTTAAGAGTTATAAGGGTTTAGTTAGTGATGCTTTTGAAAAAAAGTGCCCCATGTATCCTGCTTATGAATTTGTCCATAATGCAATGGTCGAATGTAGACCACAAAATTATAGTGTGGAAACTGAGGTAGAAGTTATGGTATCCCTTCAGAACATGTTAGATAAATCTGCCGAACGGTTGTGTGAAAGTGTGGCTTCGGACTGGAGTGAGCAAGATCTACGTAAATTAAAATTAATAGTGACTTTAGGCTTCGACAGCTCATCGGGACACGTTAATCCTCAACAACAATGCAAAAACTCTGAAAATGAAAGCTCTAACGCTCTTCAGTCGCTTTTCGTGAGCAGTTTCATCATAATTAATTTAAGAAATATGAATTCAGATGAACCCTTTTGGCTGAATCCCACACCACAGAGTATTCGATTTTCTCGACCTCTACGAATAGCCCTAGAAAAAGAGGACAAAGATGCAACACTACATGAACATGTTCGCCTAATGAAGAAATAAAAAATCTTATTCCATACCGTTTCAAAATGTGCAATGGCAAATCAGTCAGGATTCAGTATAATGTTTATCAAACATTATTTGACGGAAAATGCTTAAATACTATTGTACAGAATGATTGTTCGAGTCGATGTCCTATATGTTTGCGTACATCACATAAATTTTCTAATTTAAAAGACGACTTCACTCCAACAGCAGCATCTCTTAAATATGGATTGGGACTGTTGCATTGCGAGATAAAATCGTTTGAACATATGTTGCACATTTCTTATCGAATCAGAATAAAATCATGGGATGTACGGAAACCAAATAAAGGTAAGTTTGACCTATTTTTGCGTTTTTACAAAAAAATTTTGCTAAGGGAGATATCTGGAACGTTAAGAATTAAATTGTAACAAACAACGAATACTAATTAAAATAGTCCTATAAGAGTTTCTTAGGGGTATATTAAACCTGTTAAAAAAAATATTGCAAAGTATAGCTTATGCTTCTTCACTCTCGAAGGTTACCATATATTTTTTAAATTGAAGTTCTTTTTTATTTGTAGCATTGGGTGTAATTTCAAGCCAATGAAAGTAATAAAATCAAATGATAATGCTGTCAAGCATTTAACTAATTGCTTGCTTATAATATACAATATTTTACTATTATAATATATCAAATTTAAAAACAAAACAAACGAATTTTAACGTACGTATAAAGGACACGGGTAGCTCCTGCAAGTAGGTTGTTATACTTGCAGGGGCCTCGACTGTGGCCCTTGATAACATAATATAATTGCACATAAAACTACATTTATTAAATTCTAGTGATTGCACTTGTCTCAAGCTTAGAATATTAAATTTAATTTTTAAAAATGCTCAAACTATTGAATATAAAAACGTCTATTACCCTCTTGGGATTTTTTTAGAGGAATTTGAGGAACGAAAGAAAAATGTACAAAAGCAAATTTATGATAAAATAGGTGTGCGAGTAAATCAAATTTTACAGGGTCATGGCACCACAAATACTGGCAACCTTGCAAGGCGATGTTTTG